ATCATTTAATTTGTTCAGCCATAGTGGTCATAGTGATGGTTACTTGCTCATTCGTATCATATGCTCTCGCTTCCCAATTTTTCTTAGGTCCAGTTTCCCACTGAACCTCACTCTCCTCACTTTCAGATACCGATTGAACATCACTTTCCTCCTCAGTTTCTACTTCCTGTGACTTCCCAAACAGAAAGTTACCTAAGACTGTGCTTAGTTTATCAGACACTTAACTTATTCTGAGCTTGGTTTCTTAATTTTTAAATTGGCCAAAGGTCCCACTTTCCCTGAGCGGCGTTTCCCTTTGGACTTCCTCTTACCTCCTTTTAAAATTGGCCAAAGGTCCCACTTTCCCTGAGTGTCATTTCCCTTTGGACTTCCTTCCACTGTCTACCAAAGGACTCACCTACATCCAGGTGTTGAACCCTTTGGTCCGAGTCCCTGGTGTCCTGCTGTGTCCTGCTATATCCTGCCGACTTACGCCAAAATGTTGCGACCCCTCGGGCTCATGTGGCCCTGGTCTCCGTTAGCGCAGGAGGGAACCAGGCGAGAAGCAGATTAGAAGTACAAGTTTGTGGAAGGCGGACTAGCCCTTACTTTCCGGGTAGCCCCGAGCAACCTCCACACCAGCCTTTTATGGAAAGGGAATGATACAGGTGAGGGGAGTAATTAACAATGACTACTTGCTGAGGGCACGGGCTCCTCCCACAAGGAACTCCTGTGGAGGAATGGCCGGAGGTCCATGCCTCAGCTGCAGATCATCTTGCTCAGATGTTAGTATCTCCTACATTAGATATGCTCAATTTTGGAGGAATTTCCATGGGTTGAAGAGAAGAATGTGTATTCATTATTGTTGGGATGAAATGTTCTGTAGATGTCTGTTAAATCCATTTATTCTAGGGTCAGGTTTAAGTCTAAAATTTCTTTGCTTAGTTAATTCTTGGAGGATCAATCCAATACTGCCAAAAGGGTGGTAAAATCTCCAACTATTATGGCGCTGGAGGATATCAAATCATTCATTTATGTTATGGTGTACTTTATAAATTGAGGAGCATTCTGGATGGGTGCATAAATGTTAATAATTGAAATCTAATATGAAAGTGTGAGGTATTGTTAATTGGTTTCATAGTAGTACTGAGTACATTGGATACTTTTTCTTCCTTTCTTGAGATACTTTACTAAGTAGGATATGTTCCAGCTCCATCCATGTAAACATAAAAGGGGTAAAGTCTCCATCTTTTTTAAGGCTGCATAATATTCCATGGTATACATATACCACAATTTATTAATCCATTCATGGGTTGATGGGTACTTAGGCTTCTTCCATGAATTGGCTATTATAAATTGAGCTTCACTGAATAATCTGGTGCAAATATCTTTGTTATAAAGTGATTTTTGGTCTTTTGGATGTATTACTGGTAGAGTAATTACAGGATTGAACAGCAGGTCTACTTTTAGTTCCCTGAGTATTCTCCATATTTCTTTTCAAAAGGGCCATATTAGCTTGCATTCCTATTAGCAGTGCAGAAGTGTTACCTTTTATCCACATCCGTGCCAACATATCACACCTATGGTGCATATTGCAAGGGTACATGTTGGATCTATAAACTATAGAGTATCAATGTCTTCACACAAGAATTAAGTAAATGAGGGGAGGGATATATTAACCAGTATGATGTCAACATTCCAAATTGCATATGAAATGAGCACATTGTACCCCATAAATGCATTAACATATACATGATCTACCTCTTTATGATTTAATAAAAAAATTGAAATCTCTTTATGTTGAGTGTATCCCTTAACAAATATGTATTGACTATCCTTATCTTTCATTACCTTTGTTGGTTTCAAGCATATTGTGTCTGTGAACAAAATTGCAACCCCTGCTTTTTTCTGATTTCCATTTATTTGTTTTATAGATGACCATCCCTTTGCCCTGACTCTATTTTTATCCTTTAAGGCAACAGTTCTCAACCCGTGGGTCTCGACCCCTTTTTAACAATAAAAATACATTAGGAAGGTTGAAAACCACTGCTTTAATGTAAGATGAGATTCTTGTATTCAGCAGATATCTGGTCTGAGTTTATGTATCAAGTAAGCCATCCTCTTTAGAGGACAATTTAAAGCATTTATGTTAATTGAGAGAATTGATAAACCTGGTAGTGTTTTAGGTGTCAAATTTTTTGAAAGTCCAGTGAACATTTGTAAGCATTGTGCTGGTCATTGTGGAGGATGGGTCTGAGAATATCCTGGAGAGCTGGTTTAGTTATGGTAAATTTCTTCAACATGTGTATGTCGTTAAAGTATTTGATTTCTCCATCACAGATGAAACTCAGTTTAGCTGGGTATAGGATCATGGGTGGGAAGTTGTTTTATCTCAGGAGATTGAAGGTCAATGACCATCCTATTCTGGCTTGAAAAGTTTCAGCTGAGAGTCCCCTCATAAGTCATGATTTTCTTACATCTGGCTGCTTGCAGAATTTTCTCCTCCATGTTAACTTTGGCAAAGTTAATTACAATGTGTCTAGGAGATGCTTTATTTGGATTGAGTTGTGCTGGGGTTCTGAAACTGTCTGCTATCTGAATTTCAGTATTTCTCCCCATGCTTGGGAAATTCTCCTATCTTGGAGTAGAGCATCTGTGCCCTTAGGAACATCTTCTTCTCCTTTAGAAATTCCTATATGGCAAATGTTTGCTCTTTTGAAATGATCCCATACCTCTCTCAGGGAGTAATCCATTTTTGCTCTCCACCTCTTTGCCTCTTTGAGCATGTGGTAACATTCAGGAGCTTGGTCTTCCATGTCAGAGATCCTTTCTTCTGCCTGCTCCGTTCTGTTATAAGGGATTCTACTATATTTCTCAGATCTTTGAGGGCTGATATTTCTTGCATTAATGTTCAAACTCTTTGGATATTTTGTCTTTGAATTCATTGACTTCTTGTGACAACTTTTGAATTACTCCTTGAATTTCTAATTCCAACTTTACTTCCATTCTGTTAGTCTTATTTACCATCCAAATTCTGAACTTGATTTCTGACATCTTAGCCATTTGTTTATAAATGGGATCTTCTGTTGTGTCTCCTTTGTCATTCCTTGGGGGATTTGATCTACTCTGATTACTCATGTTGCCAGAGATTTCCTGCTGAAAAAGAAATTTTCCACCCCATGATTATTTTTCTCAGTTTGGCTAGAGAAGGGTGTAAGGTGAAATTTGATTGAGGGCTCCTGGAGTTGTAATTAACCAGCACTTTACCGAAGAGCTGGAACTGGTGACTGTGGCTTTTCCCCTACAGCTTTACAAAAGTCTCATTCAGTTCTACAGCCTGAGACTCTGGGGACCTGCTTGGTGTGATGGCGGATAGGTGGCTCTGTTGTGTATTCAGCTAGTTTCTATCCAATCCTAGTGAATCATTGGCTTTGGGCTGAAATCTCAGCTGTGGAGAAATACAAGCAACTAAGACACCCTGCCCCCCATGGGCAACAATGGGAAGAGGAGAATTAAACCCTGTAACTATAACACAGCCTAGCCACACCCTTGGATGGTCCCCAGGTGATTGGCCCAGGTCAAGCGTTCCAAACCACTTGTCCCAGTCAGCAGAAATGCAGATCACATGGGAGAGTTCAAAAGGTCTCCAGCAACTAGACAGCGGGGGTCCACTGGCAGCACAAGTGTGACTTTCTCCAGGGCTCTGGTGAGTCAGAAAGGCCTTCCCAGAAAAAGGATTAATCCTGCAGGGCTGGTGCCTCCTTCCCCACCTTGTACCTCCATCACTCCCAGTCACTGGTAACCCTGCAGGGTTGTGACCCAGTTCCCTCCAATGACCAAATGCACCAGAGATTTGTGCCTGCCAGAGTTAAAGGGAAGTGAATGCCTCTTCAGGAAGGCTGCTGCACTCTGCCACCAGCTGGCAGGGGGAGTTGAAGCCTGACTACCTTGGGTGCTCAATGGAAACTGGGGAGTGTTCCACTTGTGTCTGTTCTGAGCCACAGTTACCATCTGAGCATGTGATTTTCTCCTTCAGAAACCACACCTCTGCCCTAGTCACACTCCTCCTCTGGAACCCCTGCAGGGTGAGGTCTGGCTCCCTCTGATGGTTCACTGAATTGGGGAGGTGTCTCTTCCAAATTTAACCCCCACATGAGTGTGTTGCTGCTGAGAGTCTGTGTAGCCACCACCACAGTCAGAGGTAGCTCAGCGAGTTGAGTGTGCCACCATGAGTTGGAGCTGTGGCCACAGCAGGTGGGAGGTGCACCCAGGGCTGGCTGGAGGTGCAGTCATCCCCCATCAGAGGTGGGGCCGCTGCCAGTTAGAGGTGAAGCCACAAGGGTCCCCATGCTATGCACTTTCTTTCTCAGCACATGGCAAGTCCCCTCCCCTTGTGCTGAAGCCCATGAGGTGTCCAGCTTTAGCTAGAAACCACCAGACTCTCTGGGTTCTGCAGAGGGTAGGCTTCCAGATTGCCAATTGAGGGGGGAAGGATAGACTGGGAGTTCAGGAAGGCAGAGAAAATATTTGTTTAACTTTTATTCTGGGTAAGAGACTGCCCTGAATTGCAGTGGGGTCTCTCTGGAGAAGGAGTCCCAGCCTTCAGCCACCACTGGCTCCCATGGAGTGAAACAAGAGGTCTTATATTCACAGCTGGCTTGTAGAGAGCCTATAGCAAGCCACTCTCTTAGGGGGAGAGGGGATGGGCTCTCGTCCTCTTTGGGATGGGTTTTACATCTGATATTTGCTTCCTTGGAGTCCCAGCTTGCCTAAGCAGGAATGACATGAACTTATCACTCTTCTCTCTCAACTAAGCTCCCAAACTTCAACTTTATTAGGCTGGTTCTGGCCATTATTTCTTGCTCTGGATGGGAGCTTCTTTTGAAAGCTGGCTCTAGTTGACCACCGTGGGTCCTAATTCATAAATAGATCTTCTGGGCTCACCATTACTCTATTTATGCATATTGCTGATTTTGGAAGTTTCACTGAGAGTCTACTAATTAGTTTCATTTCTTTAACAGGAAAATCTGAGGAAGACTAAAAGAAGAAGGGACTTTGCAAGAAGTGCCACCCTCCTACTTCAAACAGTGGAATTGAGTATCTGGAATGAGAGTTCTTCTTCTCCAGGAAAAGGTCAAAATTCTGAATTTGGTACAGGTAAGAGATGCTGAGTGGACCTCTATGATCTCCATAAGGAGATCTGGACTCCAGCACAGGCAGGCCTCTGAATGGTAAAACCAAATGGCTCCCAGAATTATAGTCTTCCATGCTAATACTACATGAGTACAGCCTGGATTTCAAAAATATAAATTTAAGGGACAAGAGAATAAATCACCTTTCTTCCCCATTCCAACTTCTTTTAGTATGATGAAAATTACTTAGAGAAAATCCACTATCCTAACTTGTCTACTAAAAAGGAAAGAACTTTGCATTATTTTCTTTCACTTCTCATAAATAGTTACAACAACACAGAATACCACTTCTTTGGTTAATGACATATGCAGAGATTTTTTTTTTTTCTTCACACTACACAAGCAATTCTCCAGCAGAAACCAACTTGGTGTCCTGCAATTCACCTCCAATATTATCTATAATAACTGAACATAGTGTCAGCCCACAGTCTGAGGGCTTAGTCCCACAAGAGCAGCATCACTTCAGCTGCCAGTTGCAAGTCCCAGGTTGCAACCTGTATTTCTAACCAAATCCAGGTATATATGAATCAGTGTCACTTGGTTTCCAACCTTGGGTTTGATTAATTTTCTCATTGAACTCAGGGAAGCATTTTATTTCATGTATCCATTTATTATGTTATAAGAAATACAGATAATCATCCATATGGAAGAGATGCATAAAACAATGGGAGAAGAGGGTCTGTAGTTTCCAACTCTCTTTGGGCATGTTCCACCCCAGGAATCTCCCACATTTTTATCTACCTAGAAGCTCCTGGAACCATGTTCTAGATGTTCATGGGTGCTTCATTACTTAGGCATGACTGATTACAGTGCCATCTATTGGTGTCAATTCAACATTTAGCATCTCCCTTCTCCCTGTAGGCAGGATGGGGTGTAAATAAAAGTTTTAAACCTTTAATCTCATGGTTGATTCCCCTGGCAACCTGTTCCCATTCTAAGATTATATGAGCTGACCAAGAGCCACCTCCATAGAATAGAAGATGCCACTATAATCCAGAAATTTCCATGAGATTTAGATTTTGAGCCACATGCTTTGGATACATGGGAAATTTCAAAGGTCTTACAAGCTGTGTGTAAGGAACTTGAGTCAAAGACCCAATATCAGAACAAAATATTTTCCTAGTGTGCCTAGGCCTCAGAAAATTGCAAGGCCTGTAAGAGCTCTGTAAAGCTACCTTATCTCTGTAAATATTAACCATTTCAAAGAACACACTTTTATCTTTGTTATTTGTTTCTATTATTTTCTATTTTCTCTTACATTGATTTTTGCTCATTATTTTATTCTATTATCCTTGTACTTTATTTCTAATTTTGTAACTTCTTGACTTGGTAGCTTAGATCACTGATTTTTAAGCCATAGACTTTTTTTTTTGAATTCACTTAAAGTTTCACACTTATCTGGCTTTATCCTGAGAATTTTGAAATGTTGGATTATCATTATCATTCAGTTAAAAATGTTTGAAAGCTTTCCACTGAACTGATTTATCACTTTACTTATGGGTTATTCAAAAATGTGTGTTTCACTACCAAATATTTGGAGATCTTCTAGGTGTCTTCATGTTACTGGTTTCTTATTTAATTTTATTGAGTTTTTATCAAGAAAGGATATTGAACCTTGTCAAATTCTTTTCCCACATCAATTAAGATGGTCAAATGATTTAGACTTTTTTTGTTATTAATGTGATGGATCCCAATGATGTTAAACCAGGCCTGCTCAGCACAGATAAATCCCACTTGGCCAAAATGTATAATCTCTTTGATGTGTTCTTGTCTGACAGTAGCATGCTTTTTAAAACTTTAGTCCTTTCAAATTCATTGAGACTTGTATTACAGTATATTTTCATGAGTGCTCCATTTGAATTTTTTTAATTATTTTTTATTTTTTTATTTTTTATTGAATGGTAACTATGCCCGTTAATGCACTTCTGGGGTACAGTGTGGGGTTTTCACTTGCAATCTGAAATACTTCCATCAACTGGTCAACACAGCCTTCATGTCATTTTCTCAGTTATTGCTTTAAAATGTTCACATTCTACTTGGCGTACGGCCTACAGATATATGAAAAAATGCTCACCATCCTTAATCATCAGAGAAATGCAAATCAAAACTACTCTGAGATATCATCTAACTCCAGTGAGATTAGCCCATATCACAAAATCCCAAAACCAGAGATGCTGGCGTGGATGTGGAGAAAAGGGAACACTCCTACACTGCTGGTCGGAATGTAAACTAATATGTTCCTTTTGGAAAGACATCTGGAGAACACTTAGAGAACTAAAAATACACCTGCCATTTGACCCTGCAATTCCTTTGTTGGGTATATTCCCAGATGACCAAAAATCGCATTACAACAAAGACATTTGTATCAGAATGTTTATTGCAGCCCAATTCATAATTGCCAGGTCACGAGAGAAGCCCAAGTGCCCATTGATCCACAAATGGATCAACAAACTGTGGTATATGTTCATTTGAAATTAATACCTGTACTAGCATACCAAATCAGGTGGTATAACAAAGACTAAGGTAACAGTGGCTTAACTATTCTTTATTTCACAATTTGAGAATAAGGAGCCCAACTGATGTACCTGTTCTGTGCAGCTCTGTGTTCTGCAATCTTTGATATCCAGCCTCCCTGTTGTGTTTAATATAGCCCCTCTCCTTGCACATTCTCTTGCAAGCTAATAGGAAAGGGGAAAGAGAAGTGGAAAGGGTGCTCATTTTCTGTAGAACACACTATTCTTATCCTCCATCCATTGCCCTAAAAACAGCTGCCATAGCTCCACCTAGCTGCAAGGGAAGGTGGAAAATGACTTGTGTTCAGCTTAAATTTGGTAGTCCTAGTCTCTGACAAAGAAGAGGCAAATGGTGACAGAAGTCCCTGAGCTTTGTATCATAGTTCCTATGACATTGTTCTCACTTGTCCACAGATAAACTCCTTGTACCACAAAAAAAATTATGAGAGTAATAGTCCATCAGAACTTGTGTTTTTAGGCTTATTTGATATGAGTCAAGTTTATTAAATGGATTCTTCCAAGATCTGTCTCTAGTGATTTTACATGGAAGACAAATAGTTAGCTACTTCTGCTTAGAAAGATTATGTTTAATCCTCCTAACCAGGGACTCAGTATCATTATTTACTTTCTCTCCTACTAAGAAGCCTGTGGTGCATGCTGATCTGCCCACCCTAGTTCTATCTTTTGGAACTAGGAAGCACAGCCCATCTTGCATCTTCTGTTTGGTTGTGTGCCAGTGTGTTGCTCATTCACACTGACCACTTCATTCCCACCATCTGATCTACCCTGTACTGGAGAGATGGAATCACCAGTCGGGGTCTTTCAAAGAAGGGAGCTCTTCAATATGTGTTCTAGTCATGAGAATCAAGAAGAATCAAGAACAGAAGGACTCACTTTCTCAATGTTTTCAGTCTATGAAACCAGGAGGTGCAATGAGACAAGTGAGAAGGCTCTTCTGGAAGCTGGAAATAATACTATGAGTATCAACTGCACTCATGCTTTCAAGGGAGCCACAACAGGTACCGTGCCTATGATGAACTCCCTCGACTTCAAATTCTAGACACAATTATCTCATTTCTAGGATACTAGGCCAAGGGATGGAAACTTTTAATATTTTCAAATTAGGAAGAATTTAGAATTATTTAGAGTGAAAAGACCTTCCTTGAGCACTGATCAGGTAGTTAGGGCATAAAATTGAAATCTTTAATAGGAGTACACACTTTGTGATATACACTTAGGTCTAATAGGACTCCTTGATATTATTCCTTAGAAGGGACAGGCTGACACATGCCCATTTTATATATAATGTCTAAAAAGGTAACATCCAATGGTGGCAGACTGCTTCAAACATCCTTTCCTTTGTGAAGAGTTTTATGAAAACCCTATTTAGAGTCACCCAATCTTTTTGTTGTTGTTGTTCTATAGGATGGCAAACTTGTTCTGTAAAAATATGATAGAATACATACTTTAGGCTCCTTGGACTTGATGAACCTCATCATAACTGGCCAAGTCTGCTGTGGTAGCATGAAAGCAGCCATACATGTGAAGTCAATGAGGGAGTGTGACTGCCAATAAAAGTTTGTTGACAAAAGCGGATTTCAGTTTAAATTTGACCCTCATGCCACAGTTTGCCAACCCACCATACCATAGTTTGCCATCTCTTCACTTTTTGCCTCAGAAAAGCACCTGCACTAGTAATTACTTTCTAATATATTGATTGGTTTGCTATCTATTTCTCCCACTACGGTGTTAGCTCTCTGATAGCAAAGATTCTGTCTTTTTTGTTCACTGCTGTGTTATAATTCCTAGAATGTCTTGGCACATAGTTAGGGTTCAATAAATATGTGATGAAAGAATAAACAGAATAACTAATGCATATAAACTATTTTAAAGAATAAGTCCTGGTTACATTGAGAGTGACATGCCTGCTGCATTGACTCAAAAAAAAAATTTGGCTATTGATTAACCTTTGATCCTTACTGTGAACTTTAGAGTAGTGGGAGAAAGGAAAGGATCTAAAAGTGAGATGATTTTTTAAAAATGGAATAAATAACAATAAAGGTAGTAAGTAGCTTTGAGCAAATTTGGATGGTGACACATAAATAATTGAAGTTTGGGAACTACTTCATAAATTACAGAGCATCTGGACATCTGAGAATTAAATTATACTTCCATAAAAAGTAGAGGGGAAAGGAAAGTAGAATAGGAAAAGTGGAGAAGGAAATTGAGTGGAATTAAATAGAATGGGTCACCATGCATACCTTTCTACTAAATTAGATACCCCAGAGTGAGTTTGAGATGGAAGATTAGAGTGTACGCCTTCCTTAGGCCACCTGAGTTCCACTCTCCCTTGTGAGGACAAGAATTTTGCCTCACAAATCTGACTGTTGGTTGTGTGTTTTTACTATCAACTGATGACCATATTTTGCACATATACCTCTTATAACATAAGGGGCATTATAAGATGTTTTACATAACCAAAGATTCTGCACCACAAACTACACATAGGGTATTGAATGCACAATTTAAGGGCAGCTTTAAATATCCATTGTTTGTCTTATGACTATCTTCTGAGACACAGCTAGTGTACCAAATCCTCAAAGTATAGATTCTTCCTAACATCATTTTTCCTCTTTTCTCTCAGGTAAAAGTGTGGTTTGTCTTATCACTTATCTTGAAGATATTCTGAATGGATCCTTTTTTAATAACAAAATAGGAATGCAAGAAGTAAAACTAAACTCTCATATTGTGAGTGCCACCATTGGCTTGAAGGAAAAAGTTTACCTGCCTGAACCTATAGTCCTGACTTTTCAAAATACTCAGGTGAGCAGAGGCTTGAGCTGGTTCTCTATGCAGTGTTTTAAAGGGAAAGGTGTATTATTGGCTACCCAGTAGAGAAATGAATCCAAGTCTAATCACACAGACATAAGAAAACTGAGAAGACACCTCCAATGAGATGTCACCTCACACCTGTTAGATGGTTATTACCAAAAAGCCAGCAGATACGTATTGATGGAGAAGTAGGGAAAATGGCATGCTTATAGATCTAATGATGGGAATGTCACTATGGAAAAGAGTATGAAGTTTCCTCAAAAAAATTGAAAACAGAATATCAGATGATCTAGCAATCCCACTTCCAGATATATATCCAAAGGAATTAAAGAGAAAATGGTACCCTAATGTTCATTGCAGCATTACTCACAACAGCCAAGATTTGGAAATGACTCAAATTGTTTTCATCAAGAGATGCATAGGTAAAGAAAATAGCGTATGTATATATATGTGTGTGTGTGTGTGTGTGTGTATGTACACATGCACATATCTTATATATATATGTTATTCTACCTTTAAAAAGAAGAAAATCTTGCACTTGTGACAACATGGATAAAAGTAGTTTATTTTGGTAAGTGAAATAAGCCAGATACAAAAAAATAATGAATATTATATGATCTCATGTATATCTGGAATCTAAAAAAAAGTTAAATTCATAACACCAAGTAGAAAAAGATGGTTTTCAGGGATGAGGCTTAGGGAACATGAGGAGTATGTTAGTCTAAGGTAATAAATTTTAAGTTATAATGTAAATAAGTTCTGAAGAACTAAGGTACCCCATCATGACAATAGTTAATGTGGTGTCATCACCACATATGCACACACACATACACACACAGTTTACTATGTGAGATGATAAAATGTGTTAGTTAGCTTGATTCTGGTAATCATTTTATACATCATATAATATCCCTTAAATGTATGCCATTTTTGTTTATCAATATCCCTCAGTAAAACTTGGAAAGAAAGAAACGTGCAGATACCTGGAGACCACCTCAGTGGAAGAATTTCTCATAATTGAAGTCTAAAAGGCAATGAGGAAGAAACATTATTGAGCTCAGATGAAGCTAGAGGCAGGAGGAGGGATCACCTTGCCTGAGATGAGAGGCTGGAGCAAAGAGTCTTGAAGGAACACCTGATTTCTCTCTCTTATCTCCCACAATGATCTCTCTTCAGGGCCTCTCATTTGTCCTATCAATGGTTATCAACCTGGTGAGGCAGTTTATAAGGCTCAATCTCAGGTGTACTGAGTTGAACAGAGATAAGCAGAATAAATGAGACTAAATTCCATAGGAGGTGTGGTGATGAGAAAGTCTTCTCAAAGAGAGTTTTCCCAATCCAGTTTCCAATACAGCACACCATTATTAACCCATAAAGTTGAAATAACCAAACATGGAATGGACCCACTTTCATACTATTCTCTTTTCCAGCCTGGAGGTGCAAGAACAAAACACATATGTGTCTCCTGGGAAGGATTGCAGGAAGAGGGAGGCAGATGGTCCACAGAGGGCTGCTCTCATGTGTACAGTGACAATTCTCACACCCAATGCAAGTGCTACCACCTGGCCAGCTTTGCTGTCCTTATGGGACTTACCCACAAGGTACCACCATTCATGGTCCCTTCTGTGAACCTGATTGTGTGAAAAAGATGTGAGGTCATCCTCTGCATTTCTTATAAAAAGACTACAAGAAAAGAAGTATGGAGTAGTAGCTTACTTGAGAGGTATTTTAGAAAACACCATGAAGGTACTGGGAAAATTAAATGGAAATGAGACAGAAGCCAATGCAGAGAGCATGACCAAGCCCTTCATCATTGTGGGCAACTGGATCTTGTTCATTCTGGGGGACTCTGGGAGTCAGCATAGAACTCACATCTCAGTCATTCTAACTGAGTGGCCAGGGATCTGGGTGTTTATACTCCAACTCCTTTTGGTCATTTCTTGAGAGCTTCATCTAAGGTATGTTAATTCTCTGAAATCTTCATGGGCATGTGCAGAGTGAGCTCAAGCTAACAAAGAAAGCCTTCAGAAACTAGGAAATTTACTGGGAAGCCTGTCCAGTGATAAGGTCCAAGGAGCTCTGGGATTGAAAGCATCTGTTACTCTGCAAGAGAAATTGACACCTTTCAGAGGAAGTCAACTGGTAGACACCAGTAACACAACATAGCCTGTTGAACTTCCCAGGTCCCAACCTAAGTCTAAGGTAATACAGATTAAAAGGAATTAAACCAACTTACTCACCCTATTTCTTTTGAGCTCTCAAATACTGAACATTTACTATATGACAAGCATTGTGTTGCATGCTTCATATGCATGGCCTCATTTTATTACTTATTGAGTAATAACCAGACTTTGATATAAGCCTTGGAATACAACTGAAAACAACACACATTTTTTAAAATTCCCAGCCTTCCTGGATATCACTTTTGACTGTTGTGCTAGACTCGTGGTCATAAAATGCATAGCTAGAGAGCAACTAATGAAACAAATTCTTAATTTTATTTCATTTTAAAGATTCAAATTAAAAAACTTGAGAAGCATAAAATATTCTTCAGTTAAACACCACTTTACTCTTTGGTAAGACTACATCTCATTTTAACACTGGCAATACAGTGTCTGAGTTGAGATGTGTTCTAAGTGTGAAATATCCATTGGATTCCTAAGGCTTAATGTGAAAAAAGAGAGAATGTGGGGTATATCACTAATAATTGGTTTTTTTGTTTGTTTGTTTTTGACTAGGGCTGGGTTTGAACCCGCCACCTTCAGCATGTGGAGCCGGCACCCTACCCTTTTAAGCCACAGGCGCTGCCCTCTCACTAATAATTGTTTATGTCTCCATTGATTATATATTTAAATGATAATATTTGGAACTTGCTCATCTAAATAAAATACACTGTTAATTTCATCTGTTCCTTTGTACATTTGTTATTATGGCTACTAGAAAATTTCAAGGTACACAAGAGGCTCATTTGTCCATTTCTACAGAATAGCCCTCATCTAGTTGTTTGGATTCAACACTCGTGGGTGGTGAATTCTGTTGCTGCCCCCATTTTGAAGACAGGAATAACAAGTCTCAGAGAAGTTAAGTGAACACAGTAGCACAGCTATAAACTGTAACATTAGAGTCCTTCTTTGTTGGTTTTCAGGAGGATCCTGCGCTGACTGTGATCACCCATGTGGGGCTGACCATGTCTGTGCTGTGCCTCTTCCTGGCAGCCCTCACCTTTCTCCTGTGCCGGCCCATCCAAAACACTAGCACCACCCTGCACCTGCAACTCTCTCTCTGCCTGCTCCTGGCCCACCTCCTCTTCCTCACAGGCATCAACAGAACTGAGCCTCAGGTATGCAGCTGGCCAAATTATCTTGTTGTTATACTCATCTCCTGAGAAAAAGTGATGAGTGAGGCATTAATCAGGTGCGATGGTGTGTGTGGGGAAGCGTGGGTTCCCATCTCAGGTCTCCTCCTGCATAACTTTGAACAAGTTCCCGACCTTCTGAGGGTCGATCCAGGTTATGTCAGCCTGAAAGTATCACGTAACACTTAGTGTTCTGACATCAGTCCCCCAATGTGGGACTAAGTGCAGTAGTAGTTTCCTTTTTCCCTTATGCATCAATGGAGGTTAAGCAAATTGCTTTGGAGAGCCTCTATCTTCTGCTTCCAGTCTGCTTGATGCTCTTCATTTTCCACACCCAACTTCCAAGGTCACCTGGCATCCTTTTCATTATAGCCAACTATAAGGTGACCTGATTTTAACATTGATAAAGCGGGACACCATGGGGGGTGTGGGGGCTGATAACAATGCAAACTTTGATAAGCAGTTCTCGATAATCAGTTCTCAACAATTATTTATTATTAAAGTTTAACATTATAAAATTAACAAAAATAATATAAAATGCGTATCCTGGTGAAATAGCCACATGACAGCCGAAATCCGTATATTCCCATCCTGTTCTCCCATGTTCCCTAGCTTGTCGTGCATTCTTTCCAAAAATCAGGGCTTTTATAAAATGCCACAGGATGCAGGACAAATTGTTAAAAATCGGGACTGTCCCACCAAAAGCAGGATGTCTGGTCACCTTAGCCAACTGGGAGGAGGAGAAGAGCATGGCAGAGTCCTGTGGTGGAGGTTTATATGGGCTAAACAAGGAAGTGGGTGTCCTCACTTCCTCTCACATTCTATTAGCTAGAACTCAGTCATGTGAACATACTTAACTGGTCTGGGAAATGTAGTCCTTAGCTCGAAGTCACTTCCCAGATAAATGTATAATTTATATTTGGGAGTTCAGGATAGACTTCATGTTTTCAGGACTGTGATTTTGCCACAATGGTCTACACTTGAAATCTTTTTTTTTTTTTGTCCTTTCTACTTTATTAATTTTTTTCTTTTTTTTAAATTTTATTTTTATTAAATCATATCTGTGTACAGTAATACTGTCATGGGGTACAGTGTGCTATTTTAACATACACTTTGAAATATTTTCATCAAACTGGTTAACATAATGTTCATGTCATTTTCTTAATTATTGTGTTAAGACATTTCTATTCTTCATTTAGAAAGATTCACAGGTACCCTTATAAGATGAACCATAGATGTGATCCTACTGATCACTCTCCCTCCACCCATCCTCCCCACTCCCTTCCCCTCCCTCTCCTCTTCCTTCATGTTCTTGGGCTATAATTGGTTTCGTAGTAGGGCTGAATACATTGGATACTTTTTCTTCCATTCTTGAGATACTTTGCTAAGAAGAATATTTTCCAGCTCCCATCCATGTAAACATGAAGGAGGTAAAATCTCCGTCCTTTAGGGCTGCATAGTATTCCATGGTGTGTATATACACCACCGCTTATTGATCCATTCGTGGGTTGATGGGCACTTGGGCTTTTCCCATGACCTAGCAATTGTGAATTGGGCTGCTATAAACATTCTGGTACAAATATCTTTGGTGTAGTGTGCTTTTTGGTCTTCTGGATATATACGTAGTAGATGAATTATAGGGTCAAATGGCAAGTCTATTTTTTTTTCTAAGTGTCCTCCAGATGTCTTTCCAAAAGGAACATATTAGTTTGCAATCCCACCAACAGTGTAGAAGTATTCCCTTTTCTCCACAACTGGGCCAGAATCTGTGATTTTGGGATTTTGTGATATGGGCTAATCTTACTGGTGTTAGATGGTATCTCAAAGTAGTTTTAATTTGCATTTCTCTGATGATTAAGGATGATGAGCATTTTTTCATATAACTGTAGGCCATGTGCCTGTCTTCTTCAGAGAAATTTCTCTTCAAGTCCCTTGCCCACCCTGAGATGGGATCATTTGTTCTCCTCTTGCAAATATGTTTGAGTTCTCTGTGGATTCTGGTTATTAAACTTTTATCAGTGACATAACCAGCAAATATCTTCTCTTATTCTGAGAGCTGTCTGCTTGCTTTACTTACTGTGTTCTTGACTGTGCAGAAGCTCTTTAGTTTGATCAGGTCCCAGTAGTGTACTTTTGATGTTGCTTCAATTGCCCAGGCAGTCCTCCTCATAAAATATTCACCCAGGCCAATTTCTTCAAGTGTTTTCCCTACACTTTTTTCTAGTATTTTTATAGTTTCATGTCTTAAGTTTAAATCTTTAATCCAGTGAGAGTCTAGTTTAGTTAGTGATGAAAGGTGTGGGTCCAGTTTCAGTCTTCTGCAGGTCACCAGCCAGTTTGCCCAGCACCATTTGTTAAATAGGGAATCTTTTCCCCATTCAATGTTTTTAATTGGCTTGTCAAAGATCAAATAGTAGTAAGTAGCTGGGTTTATCTCTTGGTTCTCTATTCTGTTCCATACATCTACTTCTCTGTTTTTGTTCCAGGACCATGCTGTTTTGATCACTATTGATTTTTAGTATAGTCTGAGGTCTGGTAGTGTGATTCCTCCTGCTTTATTTTTATTTCTGAGTAATGTCTTGGCTATTCAAGGTTTTTTCTGATTCCGTATAAAACAAAGTATTATTTTTTGAGATCTTTAAAGTATGACAGTGGAGCTTTAATGGGGATTGCATTAAAATTGTATATTGCTTTGGGTAGTATGGACATTTTAACAATGTTAATTCTTCTCAGCCATGAGCATAATGTGTTTTTCCATTTGTTAACATTTTCAGCTATTTCTTTCCTTAGAGTTTCATAGTTCGCTTTATAGCCATCTTTCACATCCTTTGTTAGGTAAATTTCCAAATATTTCATCTTCTTTGGCACTACTGTGAATGGAATAGAATTCTTGACTATTTTTTCAGCTTGACTGTTGTTGGTATATATAAAGGCCACTGATTTATGAGTATTGATTTTGTAACCTGAGATGCTGCTGTATTCCTTGATCACTTCTACAAGTTTTTTTTTAGTAGAATCCCTGGTGTTTTCCAGGTATACAATCATATCATCTGCAAAGAGTGCAAGTTTGATCTCTTCAGATCCTATATGAATACCCTTGATTGCCTTTTCTTCCCTAACTGTGATGGCTAAAACTTTCATTACAATGTTAAAGAGCAATGGAGACAATGGGAAAGCTTGCCTAGTTCCTGATCTGAGTGGAAACTATTTCAATTTAACTCCATTCAATACCATATTGGCTGTGGGTTTGCTGTAGATGGCCTCTATCAATTTGAGAAATGTCCCTTCTATACCAATTTTCTTAAGTGTTCTGAACATGAAGTGATGCTGGAAATTATCAAAAGCTTTTCTGCATCAATTGAGAGAATCACATGGTCTTTGTTTTTTAATTTGTTTATGTGATGAATTACATTTATAGATTTATGTATGTAGAATCAGCATTGAGATCCTGCGATAAAACTGACCTGGTAGTGGTATATATATTTTTTTGATATGTTGCTGGATTCTGTTTGTTAGGATCTTGTTGAATATTTTCACATCAATATTCATTAATGATATTGGTCTGTAATTTTCTTTTCTTGTTGGGTCTTTTCCTGGTTTGGGGATCAAGGTGATGTTTGCTTAATAGAATGTGTTAGGTAGTATTCCTTCTTTTTCTGTTTTAGAAGAGGTTAAGTAATAAAGGTACTAGTTCCTCTTTAAAGGTTTGGTAGAATTCTGATGTGAAGCCATCTGGTACCAGACTTTTCTTTTTAGGGAGATTTTTATAGTTGATGCTATTTC